CCAGGATCCAACTCTTGTGGGATTGAAATTTGGGAAATTTTAAGCTGATTCAGCATTGCTGTGCTGCCACGCCACCAAAGTCAGCCCAGGTCACATGATGGGCATATCCCCAACCTCTTTCCAGCCTCTCTTTGTCCCCTGTGCCCAATCGGCTGGTGGCAAGGCCTGATGGGCAAGCAGCAATTGGCTGCTTTTGAAATGAGGCAGAAGTTTGAAATCTCTTGACAGCAGTGTGCATTGAGGGAAGGATGAGGGAGTGACTTGGATGCCTGCTGCCAAGGTAGGGCTTGGGGGGGCAGTGTTTCAAGAAATATCTCTGAAATGATAACCCAGTGGGTCACGAGTTACCTAGTAAGATTTAAAAACCAACAGAATTAGCACAGAATAAAGCAGCAGTGAAAGTGATTCATCATTGGTCTCCTTGGAAAAGGAGAGTTTCAGATTGTTATGCATTAAAATTGGGGAGGCAGGAGGAAAGAGGGCTATTTTTTTTTTTATGGTCATGGGTTGTAATTCAAGTTTTTAGGATGTCCCAGGCTTGTGATGAACATGGTGATGAAGGAAGTGGGTAGGGCTCAGAATGTTCAAGGAGCAATGATTTGGGGGGGAAATAGTCTTTTTTTAAAAAAAATGCATAAAATTTATTTTACAAAGCAGCATCTAACCTTGGTGATCTCAGAAGCCTTAGCAAGGTCAGAGCTGGTTAGTACTAGAATGGAAGATGACCAGGAAACAGCAGAGCTTGAGCTTGATTGAGACATCAAAACTACGGTCCCAGAAGGCACAAACGAAACCCTTCTCCAGAAAGCGAGATGGATATCTGCAGATAGCCACCAGTTGTTTAATTTGTGGAAATCTTGGGGGGCTTAAGACCCCCAAGGCAAACCTCTCTGATGGGGTCTCCATCATAACATTAGTTATCACTTAGAGATAGAGGCATCATTTGAGGGAGCAGACTGTTTTGCTGCCTGTGACTGGCACACAAGCTATTGCTGGGGAGGAAGGAATGGCAGCAGACACTGGAGGCTTGGAGTCCTCTCTTGGGTGGGTAGGTGGGGCAGTGGGGGGAAATGCAGCATTGGCATTTGTATCAATACATATCAGGGCCCCCAAAATCTGGATGACCACTTGACAACAAAGAGTGTTTTCTAGACCTTATTGCTACCATCTAGTGGTTGTCCTTGTCAATATGTGTTAAAGCCATCTGCTTCTCTTCCACCTGCTGCCCTTCCCTCGGTTCCTGTATGGCGACAAGCTGTTTTTTCAGCAGAGCACAATCAGGTTTGGGATGTTTGTTAAGAGATTGAGGGCCTGGCCACAGGCCTGTCCCTATGGGCCCCAAGGCAGCTGCCACCCCTGCCTATAGTGTATTGACTCCACTGTTTTAGGGCTTACACTACAATTCTGGTGTGATTCTCATTACAAAACGGTGCAATCCTTGGCCTCTTGCCTTCATTTCTTCCCCACCTCCCTTGGTGTCTTTGTTTCAGATCTCTTACAAAGGCTGGCATGGGGGGGGGGGGCCTTTCTTGGCATACACTTTATTTT